TCTTTTCTTCTGTGCAGATCCATATTTGTGTGTGGCCTGCTTCTTTCTTTCTCTCTCTGTCTCTCTTTCTCTCCAAAATCAAGCTCCTGTATAACAGACACTGAAAATATAAAAATCAAATTCTGAGTTGATTGCTTGGAAATTGATACTGATCTCTCTGTCCAGAAGTGAGTCAGTGTCCATTAGAAATCCCATGAATTTCTCCCAATGTCCTTGCTAAATATCTTTGAGATTAAAAGGTAATTCACCTCATAGCTGTTTGTAGGACCTTCCTGTGTGCAAAATGTCTGTGCAAAATAAAACACTAAACTAAACTTAACGATAATTACCCTGAAAAGTTTTGAAATTGGCTTGATGCTTTATCAAAATATATGTTTGATGAAATGCACTTCTCAAAGCTTTTCCTAGGATTTATTACTATAAGGTGTAGTGACTGTGTATTTTTTTGGTGAAAGCAGCAGCCAGTTTTGCGAAAAGCAATATTCCACAAAGAGCCATGAAGTGAACCATGAAATTCCAGAAAATTTCCCTTCTCTTTTTGATTAGAGCCACGGGATCTTTAACGGATACCCAATGTGGGATTTGAACCCACAACTGAGCTGACGCAGAATAGAGAAGTCTGGGAACTGGGTTATTTCATTCTGGCTGTGTGGTGCTGTGCTTGCATTCACCAGTTTCTGTATAACCTTTACTAGTGTTTTACTGTGAAACGGATGTGTTGGGGGATAGCAGAGACCTAGTGGGGAGTTTCCAGACACGCTGCTCTAAAACTTTACTTCAGAGATGATGAATCCGGCATCATTGGAATCTCTGAATGGAATTACCCAAAAAGTGATTGCCATTCCCATTATTACTGGGGGAAATTTGTGGGATTCACAAAATGGCCTGTATCAGTGAATCCTGTGAATCCTGTGGCTTCTCAGAGATATCTCTGACCCGTCTCTCTGAAACTGGGCTCAGAGGCCAATCTTCAACCAAGTGCTGCAATTGGCCTCCATTTGGCTTGACCCGAGAAAATAAGATTGATGTTCGAACAGAGTTCCAGCGATTCTGCCTGGCATATGCAGGAGCTTGTAAGGTGTGCCAGTCAGACTTTTCCTTGCTGAATGTAGCAGCTTGGCTGAAGTACGATGATATTGGGCATCATAGGAACACAGGAGGAAGCCATTCAGCCCCTCGAGCCTGTTCCGCCATTCTATAAGATCATGGCTGATCTATACCTCAATTTCAATTACCCGCCCTTGCTTCATATCCCTTGATACCCTGACCTAACGAATATCTATCCACCTTGAAAACAAATATCTATCAGTCTTGAAAACTTGAATGGATCCATAGCCACCATCAGTCACTGATTAGCAGAAATTTCATCCTTGGAGTTTTATTTGCTCCACTGATGGTATATATTTTTTCTCTCCAGTGATTCCTGGTTAATTTTAGTCAAATAATATTTAACACATAATCATATCCAAATCCAAGGCTATGGAATTTCTCCTTATTTAGTGAGTATCTAACCTGTGACGGATTAGGAAATTATGGGAACAGCTTTCATACTTTGCTGTTTCTGTACTGGAACCGATAGGTATCAGAGCATCTGATGTCTGGGTCCAGTGGTATTGCCCCACTTTGGAAATTGCCCCACTTTGGAAAGAGGGAGAGAAAATGGAATTAGGACCTCTGCTCACCTGAAATCAGAATAAGAAAACACAACAATCCTCCAAGGGATTGATGAATAGGGGGAAGGGAGGAGGGGTGACGTAAACTGGGTCTCTTTGGGGCTAAACCAACTCCAAGATTTGAGACTTTGGGCTAGAGTTCCCAAAGGAAGAGATGTAGTGGCTGAATCTCGGTCACAATTGGTAGGAAGAAGGGATTGAAGAATGAGAAAATAGACAAGATTCTGAGGAGACAAGGGTACAGGTGGACTTGAGGAGATTGCATAGGTAGGAAGATCAGGAAAAGAATGTTAAAGACAATCTTTTGGGGAACATGAGAGACCAGCAAGGATGGAAGTTGTGTAGAGTCCTTTAGCTCAGTGTTAGAGCACTCGCTTTGCAAGTGAGAGACCTGGGTTTGATTCCCGGCAGGGTTGAAACCTTGGGCAAGTTTTCTTACTTCACACACCTGATAATAATCCCTCAAAAAAATAATAAATTGATCACTTCAATCCACGACTGTTTGTGGGACACTGCTGTGCGCAATTGGCTGCCTCATTTCACCCACAAATATGCAGTCAATTCACTTTATAGTCTATTCTGGGAAGCTCTTTGAGATGTCTAGAAGATGTGAAAAGCGCTATATCAAATGCAAGGATTATTATTATTATTAATGGGTGTGTGGAGTCTAATGCAGGAGAGAGTAGGGATGGAGAATTTTACAAAGGCCATCTGCTCAGAATGGGTGATAAGGAGAGGTACATTGGTTCACAACAGTGTACTTGCCTCTCCTATAGATAGCATAGAAATAATTCTTTAATTATTATACAATAAGGTCAGTAACAGCATTTACAGACTCTTACTCATATCTGGAGTAATTACTGTAACTTGCAGCTGTGATAATCAACTACTGGGAAGGGTTCGGCCGGCTGATTCAGAGGCAGAGTGAGGTCACTGTGGTGACGTGCTCCAGGCTGAGTCTTGTATTTTCTTACTCTGATTTCAGACAGTCAGGGGGCCTAGTTCCTTTTCTCTCACCTATTGTTGTGGGTCACTTTCCCGGGTAATTTCCCGAATGGATCATTACCACACTTCCCCACCACTTTCAGTACAGGAAACATGAGACATCAGACACCCAGCTGACCCTCTAAAAAAGAGACACCCCAAGCTTCACTCATGATTTCCCCCCAAATTTGCCATGGAGAACCCTTATATTTGATATATAATAATAATAATCCTTGCATTTGATATAGCGCTTTTCACGTCGGGAGGACGTCCCAAAGCGCTTCACAGAACACACTGTATATTTGTGGGCGAACGCGGCAGCCAATTGCGCACAGCAATGTCCCACAAATAGTCGTAGATTGAAAATGACCAATTTATTATTGTTTTTGGTTTTTTGGAGGGATTATTATTAGGCTCTGTGTGGAGTAAGGAAACTTGCCCGAGGTTTCGCCCTCTGCCTGGAATTGAACTCAGGTCTCCCACTTGCAAAGCGAGTGCTCCATAAGACTCCATAGCGCTTTATCACAGCTTCAAGATGTCTCAAAAAGTTTCTCAGAATATTCTTTAAAGTGAATTGACTGTATATTTTGGGGACGAAATGCGGCAGCCAATTGCGCACAGCAGAGTCCCGCAATCAGTCGTGGGTTGAGTGACTAAATTGAATGAATGGCACCTTCTGTCAGTAAAGTTGGTCATTCACTTCATGGCTGTTTGTGAGACATTATTGTGCTGTACTGTGTCTACAAATACACAGTCACTGCAGCCCATAAAATTAATAATAATAATAATCCTTGCATTTGATATAGAGTCTTCGAAGATGTCTCAAAGTGTTTCACAGAATATACTGTAAAGTATATATTTGTTTTTGTTTTGTGGGCGAAACGTGGCAGCCAATTGCACACCGCAGTGACCCAAAATAGTGGTGGATTGAGTGACCATTGAGTGATTATTATTTTTATAAATAAATATTTTCAAGGAATTATTAGCCCAATAGACTAACTAGGTAAACAGAGATGTGTGGAGTAAGGAAAGTTGCCTAATGTTTCGCCCTACCCGGGGATCGAACCCAACTCTTCTCGCTTGCGAGGTGAGTGCTCTAACCACTAAGCTTCAGAACTCACGCTGGGATGTATTGCCACAGGCCTCTGTTGACATGAACCCAGTTTCAGCACAGAGCTGTGTTTTCCTAGTGCTGCTGCTATGATTGAAACATTTCAGCAACTCACCACCCCGTGGAGTAGAAGCTTCACAGGAAGAGGAATATTCTATGTGATTAAACCTCCAGCACCATCTTTCATCGTTGAGATCAAAGGCTTTCATAGGACAGGCTTGGGGCTTAGAAACCCTGTGCACAGATCAGAGTCAAAGCACTTTAACCCTTGAGGAATGTAAGAGCAGAGCACAGCTGGAAATAGCATACATGGCAGAAGTACTCCTTTAAGCGATTATAATAAATAAACTTATTCTGCTTTCTCTCTCATACCCCTCTTTTGACTTGTTTGCCATTGATGGATTTGGTGACACAATCTGCCTCCACCATCTCACAGTGTTGCTTCACTGTTCCACATATTTACCTCTATCTGAGTACGGTACTTAAATCTCACCTTCCTTCTTCTGAGCTTGATTCTGAATTTTCTTGCTGTGGGGTTTGTGTCTGTGTTAATATTTAGGGTTCAGATTAATTGGTTCCTTTAGGATTTTTGAATACTTTGATAAGATCACTCATGAACCTTCACCCCTATCCCCTCCCCCCATCTTTATATTCCACTTCTCAACCAACTTCTTCAACTGTGCATATGGTCCCTCCCCCTCTCTTCTCTCTCCCACCACTGTGAAGTTACCCTACATAAATCCAAGCTGATCTTGTTGATGATAATAGTAATAATAATCCTTGCATTTGATGGAGCGCCTTATCACGTTGTTGAGGCATCTCAAAGAGCTTCACCGAATATATTGAAAAGTGATGTGACTGTATTTTATGAGCAAAACGCAGCAGCCGATTGAAGATTCCCGGATTCCATTACTTCTGAGAACTTGGCTTCCTAATTCCAGATGGCATCTGGAATCCACTGTATCTTCTGCAAGATGTCCTTACTCCGTATTTTGGGGACCAGAATTGTATGTAATACTCCAATAGCAAACGCCAGCATCTGGAAGGTGGTACACTAAAGCTGTTTCTTGTTTATTTCTTTGTCATGTTGTCAGTCTGTCCCATGTAATGGCAATGTTTTATTTGGATGAGAGGTCAGCCTTGTAATTGTGTAATATTGTAATTATTGATGCCTCATTGCTATGGGTAAGTGCGTAATTAACCCAACCTTTGTTTTTCTCTGGTGTTCTCAGGTGTGCCCTGCCTTCCGAGCTACCTGAGCCTATATACTGATCGCTACCAGGCCAACGGGTCAAGCCAGGGGCCACTGTACAGTCACGCAGAGCTGAGGACCCTGGAGCAGTCCATGCTGGCTACCTGTGTGGGCAGCATCGCAGAACTCAGTCAGTATCTCACCAACCTAGTGCATGCACATAGAGTCCTTTAAAAGATTGCACTTGCTTTATTATTTTTTTCCTGTTTACTAGACCAGCAATCTGTCAAACTATTCCGTTACAGTAGCCCTATTTTAGCCCAATTTGTCATTGTTGGGATTATTTCCTAGCAAACAGTTAAATTGAAGCCTCACTTGATTGTGCACTTCACTCAAACCAATTGGATGCACTTTATCTGCTTATCACAACCAAATCATTTGTTTTCTTTGTGTATAGTGTGACTGTATGATTCACCTACTAACAAAGAATTCAGACATAAACCTGTTAATCAGTATCCCACAGCCTAAAGTTTGAGAGGAATGAGTTAGTCAGACGTTCTCTGTGGTGACATCCTAGAACTGAAATCAGCAAGCATTTTGTCAGAGGGTTGTGAAGATTTGGAGGGCTCTGCCCCAGAAAACTGTGAAAGCAGACTCAATCAATAAGGATGTTTAAAGACAGATAATTGTATAGTAGTAGAAGCACGGGGTGGTAATGTGACAGGGTGGAACAATGAGAATTCCATTCTTCCACTGACATATGGAAATCCCAGAGATAGATTGTTGGAATGGAATGTGCTCTCTCCCTCTCTCTCTCTCTCTGGAGGGACACATTCTGCTTTCCTAATTCCGGAAAGCAATATCCAAGGCTTAGGGAGCCAGCAGTGGAGTTGTACCTAGTATTGGGATGTTGAGCTCAGCGGTAATCTGTTCCTCCAGCAGAATTACTCTATTAGGAGACCATTGGAAGGCAAGAGAGGAGTTATTGAGACTGAGTTTATTTCACTTGTACCATGCCTGAGCTGGGAGTGACCGGTTACAAGGTTAGGAATGTGTGCTGTTCCCAGCTCCAGTGTCCGACCTCAATGAGAGTATGAGATATTATTCAACCTATAAAAGGAATCCTGTTTGATCTTGCTGTCTGTCTTGTTGTGGAGATGACTGTATCTGACAGATTTGGTTCTAACTAATCATCTTCATTTCCCAGGTGACCTGGTCTCTCACGCTATGTATTACCTGCAGCAGTTTGGTGCCAAGTGTCACGGGACGGGTTCACAGGTGCACTTCAGACAGGGGCCATACTCCTGGGAGCCTGAGGCTCTTCACTCTCTGTATTACTATATGCACTGCCCCCAGATGGAGTGGGAGAACCCTAACATCGAGCCATCCAGAGTCAAGCTGGCTACTGAGAGGTAAGGCGCTGGGAAAGGGAAATCTACTCAGGACGTTTAATAGAGGAGAACCGTTTTAAATGCACCAAGTTCTTCTTGTGGAACTTGGTCAAACAGACGGCGAGTTCTTTTCTTTGTATGAAACCTACACATGGAAATTCCGTGTGTTGGAATGCACACTCTCCCCCCAGGAGATATGCATCCTGCATACCTTATTCTGGAGAGACCCAAGGCTTGTTGGGATACTGCTGGAGTTTAACTAGATACAACCATAGATTAGTATGTGTGTGTATTAATGTATATGTTTATGTTGTCTTTAAATGTGCGCGTCCTGTTCAGGATATATCCAGCTTCTCATTACTATGTTTTTTTTTGCCTCCCAGGCCATACGAGGTTCTCCCACCAGTGGTTGAATGGATCCGAGTGTGCATTGTACATACTGAGCACAGGCACAGTGTGGTGGTGGACAGCAATGATGTGCGTCAAGCTGCCCGGCTCCTACTCCCTGGCGTGGATTGTGAGCCCCGACAACTGAGGTCAGCACAATAACCAGAAACAACTCATTCATTCTCCTGGCCTGTGGCTTAATGGTTAACCTGGGTTTGTTTCCTGAGCAGGTCGAAATGTTAGACAAGTTTCCCTACTCCACAGTTTACCTAGCAGTCAATAGGAACCCAGTTGTTAGTCAATTGGGGGATTGCTTTTCCGGGGGTATTAATCCCTTCAAATAATCTAAAAAAATTAATAACAATTTGGTCACTCGATCCATGACTTTTTGTGGGACGCTGCTGTGTGCAATTCGCTGCCAGGTTTCGCCCACAAAATATACAGTCAATTCACTTTGCAGTATATTTTGTGAAGCGCTTTGAGACGTCTCAAAGACGTGATAAGGCGCTATTTCAAATTATTATCCCATTAAATGCCTGGCACACAATCCAGCACTGGGTGTTAGACTGTGGCAGACAGATAGGCTCCATGCGATGACCCCACTTGTACCGAATGCTCTGAAAACGCCATTTGTTCACAATGAGCCTCCCCCAAAATGATCATGGCTGGGCCATTTGGTGACAGAGGGCTCTCCTAACCCTGCTCTCTGTCTTCTGGTGATGATCTTAAATTGATGCCTGTAATTACTGATTCACAGACTGAAGTAACAATAATTATAATAATTGTTTCATTTGATATAGCGCCTTATCATGTCAGAATGATGTCACAAAGTGCTTCACAGGATATACTGTGAAATAGAGTGACTGTATTTGTAGCCAAGTGCGGCAGTACAATTGTGCACAGCAGTGTCCCACAAACATCCATGAAACGAGTGACCAATGTTTGAAGGAGTGGGGGGGGCGGAATTATTGGCCAGGACACCGGGAGAAACTCCCTTCTCTTTTCGAATAGTGCTATGGGATCTTTAGCATCCACCTGAACAGGTAGACTGGACCTCGGTTTAACGTCTCATCCGAATGACACACCTCCAACAATACAATCCCCACCACCCAGACTGCACTGGAGCGTCAGCTTAGGTTATTTGGGATTTGAACCCACAGCCTTCTGCCTCTGCGGCGAGCTCGCTACCACTGAGCCAGGCTGACAGATTCTTTCTATCCCAGGGCTGACAGCTGTGTGTGCAGATCCCGCAGACTGAACGCCAAGGAGGCAGAGCTGAAGCTGAGACAGGACTTGGGCTTTCAGATGCTGAGCTGTGGCCGTACAGACTTGGTGAAGCCAGCGGCTGGGCTGCTGGGACCAGAGGGGACCAACACTCTGAATGAACAGGTAAGGGAGGAACTGAGTGGAGAACTGGGTAATACACAGACTGCCCAGGAGGGGGAGATGGTGAGCGCAGGGCGGAGCGCTCGGTCAGGTATACCAGAAACTGGTGCCACACAAACTACTCACAGAACAATTTGCAGCTCAGTCCTGATTTCAGGATTGCTGGGTTTGTGCTGTTTGCTGTAACTTTATACTGTATCCATTTAAGAGTGAAATCAGGAAGCATTTTTTCACCCAAAGGGTGGAAATCTGGAATTCTCTCCCCCAAAAGGCCGTGGATGCTGGATCCATCCACACCTTCAAGGTTGAGGTTGATATGGTGTTGGGAGGTCAGGGGATTGAGGGATATGGGGAGAAAGCAGGAAATTGGAATTGAAAGGATTAGTTGAGGTACAGATCAGACATTAAATGATGGAACAGGCTCGAAGGGCTGAATGGCCTACTCCCGTTCCTATGTTCCTATCTATCCAAATATGCCAAATGTTTCAGAATCATGTCAAAAATTATAACATAGTCAGAGCTGCAAAACCATGGGCCCTGTGCAGGGGGAGGAAGTTTTTGCGTGTTAGCGAGTGGTTTTCAGGGAGCTGGTGGCTGTGTCTGGTTGCTGTGATGATTTTTGGAGCTGGTGGGGGGGTGGGGTGGGGTGATAAATGGACGGGTGCTGGGGCTAGTAGTTTGGGAAGGGGTGGGGAAAGCTGTGGAACCACACCCTCATTGTGAGCCTCTGACTGTTCAAGATGCTACCTTGAGAGAAGGGCACTATACAAATGCAAATTGTTGTTGTTGTTGAAGTGAAGAGTGTTCCCTCCTGGTAATGGCAATGTGTGTGTTGTGCAGGGAATGAGCCCACTGATGTACGCTTGTGCTAGTGGAGATGAAGCGATGGTACAGGTACTGCTGGACTCCGGAGCAGACATCGACATCCAGGTAAAGTGGTTGATGACCGGGGGATTGAGGACTTGAGATAGGGATTGCACATTGTTGCAAGGCTTGGAAAATTTGCGGCCCATCATGTTTTTCTGCCATGTTTAAATTCAAGAACAAGGGCTTAGAGCTTCAAAGTAAGAACATCAAAGGGAACAGGAAACAAGAAACAACACGGGAGACAATTTTTTTTAGTTCAAATGGTGATGGGTGTGTGCAACAGACTGGGAGCACAACTGGTTGAACAAGAAACTACAAAGGCTTTCAAAAAGGAACTAAAAAGGTTCCCATCATCTAGAAGAGTAAGGATTATTAGATTTAGAAACTGATACAGGGCGGAACCTGTGGGAAATTGGATGAATGCCACACTTACAGTGAAATATCTCATTCTTTGCAGATCAGACGCATGTTCAGCAGCTTTAGAAGCCTGAGAAAATCTCTGTTACCTGGGCGTGTTCTCTTTGGCTGATCCCATTTCATTCTCTCTCCCAAAATCAAACTAAGATAGCCAAATTCTTGCCACATGTTGATTTGTGCCCTGAAATTATGCTGCTTATTTCCAGTGGGTGGGTGGGTGGACGGGAAAATTGCTATAAGCCCCCTGACCTGTTTTGGTTGGTAGGTCCCCAGCACAGCTCAGCAGTTCACATCCGTCCATGCGGAGACTCGACGCTGGACTGCACTCACCTTTGCCGTTGCATTTGGACATCTAGCGGTCACACAGGTAAGGTTGCCAGGCTGGCTCATGCATATAAAAGACGGAATCCAGTGATGTTCTTAATCAGGAGCCAATAACATATAAACAAAACCCAAAATACTGCAGATGCTGGAAATCTGAAACAAAAACAGAAATCATTGGGAACACTCAGCAGGTATCTGTGGAGAGAGGAAAGTGCAATTTCCTCCCCTTGTTTTGCATCATTAACACCTCTTTAACCCATCATCTCCTGTCCTCTACCCCATTTTCTCCTTGTCTTCCTTGCCCTGCCTCCCCCCCTCTCTGTTAGCCCTTAAAAGCCTCTCCCTCCCAACATGCCCCAGTTCTGATGAAGGGTCGTGGACCCAAAATGTTGACTCACTTTCCTTTCTCCATAGATGCTACCTGACCTGCTGAGTGTTCCAATGACATATATGTACATTGGCTATGTATATATAGCCAATGACACCTTGCTGATTGTGTGTATTGTACTAACTCTCTCTCCCTCCCCCCACAGCTTATGTTAGATGCAGGGGCCCACGTGGAAGGCTTTGTCAATGAAGGAAGCTGTTCAGAAACACCTCTGCAACTGGCAGCAACAGCAGGTGAGCAGCAGAACACGTACCTGGTTAGAAACCGTAGGTACAGATATTGTAGGCCTGGCCTCAAAAGTGTGCGTGAGCACTAAAGGCTCCAGTGGTAATCTTTGACCCTTGTACTATTTGTATATTGTGTTCTGTAGTTTAATAATTATAAACCCTGCAATCTGCCGTGGGTGGGAGCATGGAGGGAAAAAACAATTTAAAGGGGTACTGTCTTCTTGATAGCCATTCAGGCAAATTTCTTTTTATTTGCTAAGAATGAACAGAGCAAGGGTGTGAATTCTGCCCATCAATCACGTGCAGTGTATCAATTTCCATAATAAACCTTTTGTATTTTCCCTCTGCCCCCAAAAAATTGCCAAACACTGCTCATGAAGGTAGTTCCTCTGAAAGAACCTTTGATTTTTAAACTATTTTTACAACAAAGTTCTAAAACTTTCTTTCCAGAAAAGTTTCAGGAGTGGAACGATTCTGCTCTGCTATTATTAATCATGATTATTTTGCTGTTTCCATGGTGAGGAAATGTTTCATTGAAGCAGGCTTCTGTTTAGTCTTGGGTATAGGATGGGAGGAGGGAGGGGAGTTGTTGGAGCTATCTGCACATGAACACAGATTTCCTAAAGGTAAAGCAGGATTCTGATTGCTTATACCTTCTGACAGGGAATGCACTTTTTTTATCAATTGGGTGTCTGACACATGCAGAAACCCATCACCGTGCTTAACACTATCCAAACCAAGCTGAGATTTCCATGCATTTCACCTACACATGGAAATCCCAGAGGTGGCTTGTTGGAATGGAATCACATTCTCTTCCTGAATGAACACATCCTGTTTACTTAATTCCAGAAAGTATTAGGCGCAGATTGGCAAGAGCCAAGGCTTGGGGATCTCCAGCTTGGGTTAACTATGGCAAACTGTTGCCTCTGAGTCAGAAGGTACTGGGTTCAAACCCCACATCAGGGCTTTGAGCTCACAGTCTAGGCTGATAACCTAAGCAGTACTGGGGGAGGCTTTGCATTGTTGAGAGTGCCGTCCTTCGGGTGAGATGTTAAACTGAGGTTATATCTGTCTAGTCAGGTGGATGTTAAAGATCCCATAACACAGTTTGAAAAGAGAAGGGAGTTTCTCTGGGATTCTGGCCAACAATCCCCCAGATAAATTGAGTTATTTGTTTCATAGCTGTTTGAGGGGCATTGCTGGCAGCTGCATTTGCCTATCAAATACAGTCTTTTCAGGTAACTTCACTTTACGCAAATGTAAGTTGTTATTATTATTGGCCTTTGTATAAGAAACCCCTCTCTCCACTCCTCCTTCACTGCCCATAACTGTATACCACTCTTTGTCCATCTAGGTCACTTTGAGCTGGTCAACTTGTTACTTGAGAAAGGAGCTGATCCCTTGGCTGGGGTGCTGGGGAAGAGTGGAGTGACTGCATCCCTGCAAGGAATTAGCAACCCCTTCAGCCAGGCTGCTGCCCATGGCCACAGGTAAGAACCGGAAATCAAGCAACAACAAAAAAATATCTTTACACAGCGCCTTTCATGCCGTGAGGTTGTCCCATGGCATGGAGCAGGCTGGAGCAGAGGGAGAGAGAGTAGGTGGGACAAACAGTATTGCAACAATGGGAAGGGAGTGACAAGACAGTAATACAGCTTCACCCTTGTGAAACGCTCTTGGTCTGTTTATATCCTCAGAAATGTGCTGAGGAAGCTCCTGTCTCAGCCAGAGGTCTCAAATGAAGACATATTATCCCTGGAGGACATCCTCGCGGAAGGGGCTGACGTAAGCTGCCCCCCGACTGTGAAGCCTGGACTGAGCCGCAGCAGCAAGGCCAGGCGGAAGGCCCTGCAGGATGCCCTGTATCAGAGCGCAGAGCACGAGTATCTGGATATCACCATGGAGCTCCGAAACCTCTGTGAGTAGCACTCTGGGAGGACCTCTCTCCACAGTGTTTGTGCCTGTTGGTTATTTCTTGTTTCTGGGTCAGAAGCTTTGTAGATTCAAGTCACGTGTTGGAACTTGAACTTGACATTAAACTGAGGTTCTGTCTGTCTGCTCAGGTGAAAGGAGAAACAAAATTATTGCTGTGTACAGGCCAACAATCCACCATGTAAATTTGGTGTTTTACTTGGCTTTGTGGGACCTTGCTATGTACAAATTGGTTGTGTTTTGCCAATAAATATAAAGCCAGCACACTAGAAAGCAATTCCTTGCTTGATCCTCCCATTAATCTGCAGCAAATGGAACCGTGTAGGTTAAGGTGTACAAGAAACAAAGAAGTAAGGGACACAAGAGGATTATGGGATGTGATAGACTCGATTTAGAAGCTTTTTTTTCACTGTTGTTAAAAAGAACCAGTCTCCAAATTAAAAGTGAATCTTCTATAGTTTGACTCGATTTGAATTTTAAGGCAAAATAATCTTAAAGGCTTTTGAGCCTTTAACCTCATGGAAGCCTGCAGCGGTGGTTAGAGCACTCGCCTTGCAACCGAGAGACCTGGGTCCGATTTCCGGCAGGGCGAAACATTGGGCAAGTTTCCTTACCCCACACGCCTCTGTTTACCGAGCAGTAAATAGGAACCTGGTTGTTAGTCGCTGATTGTTTTCTGAGGGTAATGATCCCTTCAAAAAAAAATTCTTAAAAAATAATAAATTAGTCACTTCAATCCACGACTGTCTGTGGGACACTGCTGTGTGCAATTGGCTGCTGTGTTTCGCCCACAAAATATACAGTCAATTCACTTTATAGTACATTCTGTGAAGCTCTTTGAGACATAATAAGGCGCTATATCAAAGACAAGGTTTAATATTATGTATTGCCGTGCTGTGCCAGCTGTGCCAACATTGCTAGCAGCTCTGCTGACTGAAGTGCGTCCTGTGTTTTGACCGAAACCAGCTGTGCCGTGGACGCTGCATGCCTGGCTGAAATCTCTGAGGACTTCCTTCATCCAGGGCCGCTGGTCCATTACGCAGTGCCTGCTGAAGGAATTTGACGGCGTGAAGGACGTGTACTGTGAAGACATGATCTCTCAGGGGCTGCCGCTGATGTTTGATATATTCCAACAGAGCCAGGTACAGAACCAACCAGCAAATAAACTGACATCCTTCCCGATATTAAGATCTGGAAGGACATGGGGAAAGAGTGGGGCTGATTGGATAGCTCTTCCAAAGAGCCAGCACAGGCACAATGAGCCGAATGGCCTCCTTCTGTGCTGTAATATTCTATAATTCTATGATCTCAGTGGTTAGAGCACTCGCCTTGCAAACGAGAGACCTGGGTCCGATTTCCGGCAGGGCGAAACATTGGGCAAGTTTCCTTACCCCACACGCCTCTGTTTACCGAGCAGTCAGTAAGAACCCAGTTGTTAGTTGATTGGTGGATTGGTACCATCATTACCTAGGTAGCAAAAGGACTTGGGTGTCCTTGTACACCAATCACAGAAAGTTAGTCTGCAGGTGCAGCAGCAGTTAGGAAGGCTAACGGTATGTTAGCATTCATTAGAAAGGATTAGAGTACAAGAGTAGGGAAGTCTTACTGCAACTGTATAGGGCCCTGTGAGACCACACCTGGAATACTGTGTGCAGTTTTGGTCTCCTCATTTAAGGAAGGATGTACTTGCCTTGGAGGGGGTGCAGCATAGATTTACTCGGTTAGTACCAGGGAAGAAGGGGATGAGTTATGGGGATAGGCTGACCAATTTGGGCCTATATTCTCTAGAATATAGAAGAATTAGAGGGGATCTTATAGAAACCTCTAAGATCATCAAAGGGCAATGATAGAGTAGATAGTGGGAGAGTGTTTCCCCCGGTTGGAGAAACTAAAACCAGGGGTCACAACCTGAAAATCAGAGGCAGCCCTTTTGCACTGAGTTGAGGAAGAACTTCTTCACTCAAACGGTGGTGAATGTGTGGAACTCACTACCCCAAAGGGCTATTCAAGACTGAGATAGATATATTTCTTATTGCAAAAGGGATTAAGGAATAAGGCAGGGTCAGGTAATTAGCTGGAGTTAGATTAGAAGATCAGCCATGATTGAATGGCGGGGCAGGCTCGAAGGGCCGAATGGCCTACTTCTACATGTTATGTTATGCTTTACCGGGGGCAATAATTCCTTAAAAAATAATAATAGATTGGTTGCTTCAATCCACGACTGTTTGTGGGACACTGCTGTATACAATTGGCTGTCATGTTTCGACCACAAAATATATAATCAATTCACTTTACAGTGTATTCGATGAAGCGCTTTGAGACCTCTCAGAGAGGTGATAAGGCGCTATATCAAATGCAAGGATTATTATTACTATCTCAATTCTGGCCTCATGGTAACTACAGTAAGATCCTGACATCTCGACCCCGGCTAACTTGTCACTACCATTAAGTCATCATTGCTGTCAATGACCCGGCTACATTTATTTATGTATTTATGCATATTCCTAACTTGCCTACTCTGGTTAGCTCGTCACTGAGCCCTTTTACCTGGAGTGGCGAGTTATCAGGAGTTTACTGTAATTCCGATATTACAAGCCTCACTATAGAATTTATATCACCTTATTCTGGATTCATCTGTTATATTAATCTACTAACACCTTAGCCTCCTTAGCTCCCGCACATGTTTCCCAACTCTATTCAGCTTCTCATCACATACTATACTATACATACTGTGAAGTGCTTTGAGAAGACATGAAAAGCACTATATCAAATGCAAGGATTATTATTATATACTAACTCGCTTCATTTCCTATGTTGGTGACTGATTGCTCGAGTACCAGATGAGGTCTGTCTGATGCCTCTGTATAATGCAATATGGATAATTGATGGAAAGTTGCCTACATTGGTAGAATGTTGCCTCTGGATCAAAAGGCTGTGTGGGGATCAAACCCTATGTTGGGACTTTGAGCTTGTTATATAAATTTAGATGTAAAACAAGTGATTGTTGTTATGGGTAAATCATATGTAGAAAATATATATATCATGTTATTTATATAATATATATGCGAGCTCTCTTTGCCATTCTTAAACACCAGTTGTTCAAATTTTAGCTAACAGTTTGCTCAAGCTGGTATGTGAGATATCTGGGCTGTTTACATGCAGCCCTGTTTTGGAGTTAGCCAGAGGCTGAGTGGATGTGGGCTGTAATCTCACTGGTACAGGAACATGACAGCTTCCGCTTCGCGTTCCATTTTCAGAATGATGTGATCGTTCGACAGATGGCAGCCATTTTCAGCCACTGCTACGGACCCTACCCCATCCCCACCATCCCGGAGTTTGGGCAGAAGATAAAGCCTGCAATTGGTGAGCGTCACAGTCCCTTTGTTCAGCTGGACAGGACACCAGCTGCATTTTCAAGCATGAAGTTTGTGGTATAGCATGTTTACACATGGCTGGTCCTTAATCACCCAGAACACAGCAGTAACGCCAGCTGCCAAACTGGTTGCCTTGCCACTGGGGACTGGGTCTTGGCAGCAGCAGCACCACCCAGTATAATGTTGGGCGTGTTTGAGGCAAGTGTCTCTTAGGAAGAGAAAAACTATGTTTCTTACAGTCCCGGGAAGCTAGAGTAACTTTATGCTGTTTGTTGCTGGGTGAGATGTGGACATTTTGCCTCATTCCCCAGGTCCATGTGGTTTTCATAATCATATCTTTGGCTCCTGATCCAGCTCTAAACTCCTATCCAAACCTTATTCCAGATCCATCTTTGCTGAACAATAAGGAGAAGTCTGAAATCACATTCCTGGTGGAAGGGAAACCTTTCTATGGCCAACGTGCACTGCTGTCAGCAGCCTCTTCTCGGTGAGACAAACCACAAAGCCATCAGTGACCTCATCAACACTTTACACCTGTATTGTGCCTTGCATGTCGGGAAAACGTCTCAAAGTGCTTAACAGGACTGACTAGTAGTCAGAGCTTGGCATATCTGAGGAATGTGGGAAAGACCAAAAGTGCGATTGAAAAGAAAGGTCTTTAGGCAGGCATTAGGGATGGGCACAGAATTCCTAAGAGTGGAGGCAAAATGGCTGAAAGCCTGGCCGTCAATGGTGGGACAGATTGGGCATGAGACATGAAGCTGCTGAGCAGGAGCTGTGGCCAGAGTGATAAGGGTGTAGGAGATTGCAGAATGGAGCAAGGCTGCGGAGGGATTTTGAGGTTAAGGATATTGATTTTGATCCACTGGGGGATAGAAAGCCAGTGGAGCCAAGTGAGGATGGGAATAATGCTCATGGAGCCTGGTGTGGGACAGGACAAGAGCAGCAGAGGTCTGCAGCTTGTGTAGGGAAGAGATGGGGAATCCGGCGAGAAGGGCATTCAACCATATCAAGGTCTCTCCCTGTCCTGGCCTCCATCCAATTTAAACCCACCTAATTTACAGCTTCAATCATTAATAAACAGTTGCTGAATATGGAGGTTCAACAAGGACAGAGGAAGGGAAGGTGGGCTCTGATTATAATAGTGTGAAGAAGAGCAACATCTACTATGTGAGAAATTATTTATTGTTACTTATTCTCACTTTCCCAGGCATTCAGCCTCAAGTAGAAAGAAATAAAAAGGCTGGAAGGTGTATGGGAATAGGATGGGGTAGTGGGATTGAATAGGCAGCTCCTACTCAGCAAACAACAACCTGCTTCATGTCTCATGCGCAATTTGTCCCACCATTGACGCCTAGGCTTTCAGCCATTTTGCCTCCACTCTCAGGAACTCTGACTCCCACCCCTAATGCCTGCCAATGTGACAGGCTGAGTAGATCCGTTCAGTACTGGACCTTTCATTATTCAGATTTGCACCACCCCTGTTGTTACTCCACGGTGCAAATGTCCTCTAAAGCTGAGAACCAGAGCATCACAAGTGCAAGAACCTGGGTTCGATTCCCGGGCAGGACAAAACATTGGGTAAGTTTCCTTACTCCACACGCCTCTATTTACCTAACAGTAAGTAGGAACCCAGTTGTTAGTCAAGTAGTGAATTGATTTTCCAGGGGTAATACTCTCTTTAAAAAAAATACTTTGGTCACTCAATCCACGACTGTTTGTGGGACGCTGCTGTGTGCAATTGGCTACTGCATTTCGCCCACAAAATATACAGTCAATTCACTTTACAATATATTCTGTGAAGCACTTTGAGGCGTCTAGAAGATGTGATAGGGCACTATATCAAATGCAAGGATTATTATTATTGTTAATCGTCACAAATACATACAAGAGATAGCATGTATCCACACTCCCATATCACTGACATGTTTTTCACGTTTTCAGTTTCAGGGGACTTATTTCTGGTGCACCATCTGCCAACACTCCAGCCTCCAGCCCCATCCTGGTCAAGGATATTACATACAGCACATTTGAGGTATGTAGCTCAGGTCAGCTAGGAGTGAGCTCTATTGGGAAGGGAGAAAGAGTCAAATTAAGGAGGGGAGGGGAAGAACTCTTTGGTTTGCTTTGGGGGGAAGGTCATGGGTGTTCTATACAAACCAATGCATTGTTTTTAAGTTTAACATAGGGTTGATGGTTGATATCGACATGAGGTTTTACTCTTGACGTCATCATTGGGTGGAGCAGATGTAGATTCTCAACCACACTGCATCTGCTTTAAGCAGAGTCCATTGTAAATATCAAGCACTAATATGTCATTCAGACTGCACATATTAATGTTAATTTATTGCAAGGATATCTGGTAGATGAATTGGATTATTGGGTTGTTTTATTATAAACACCATGTGACACTTCAATATTACAGAGAATTGGAGTCCTGTAGTTTAGAGATTAGAGCACTCACCTGGCAATCGAGAGGACCCGGGTTTGATTCCCAGGCAGGGTGAAACCTTAGGCAAGTTTGCTTACTCCACACATCTCTGTTTACCTAGCAATAAGTAGGAACCCAATTTCAGTTGATCGGTGGATTGCTTTCTGGGGGGAATAATCCCTCAAAATAAATGAATAATAATTTGGTCACTCAATCCATGACTGTTTGTGGGACACTGTTGTGCGCACTTGCCTGACGTTTTTCTCCAGTCAAATCACTTTACCATATATTCTGTCAAGCACTTTGAGAAATCTCAATGAGGCGTAAGGCACTATATCAAATGCAAGGATTATTATTATTAATACATTTCATTCTAAAAGGAGAGGTTTTTTTTTTTAGTTGCGGCTCAGTAAATTGGATTGACAGGCCAGGAATAGTCCTCTTTATGTTGTCAATGACAAATCCTGACTCTTTAACCTCTTCTGGCAGGTGATGGTTCAATATATTTACAATGGAGGGACAGGGGGCCTGGACGTCAGTAAAACCCAAGCCTTGGAGGTAAGCTTTCAAGCATTCTGCCCCATTCTTTGAAATTCCTTCTCGGAGTCCCTCAGATTGGATTCTTTCTTCCCCTTTCAAGGCACATCTCAAAATGTACCGCTTGGATTACCTATTTGGGCATCCTTCCCCTCCCGATCCCCAGCTCGGTTACCCATAAATCACTGTGAAGTGCTTTGAGACGTCCTCTGGATGTGAAAGATGCTGTATAAATAGACTGAATCGGTTTTAGATCAGGTTTTGTAGATTGAAGATCACCTCAAATCCTGCTCAGAATGCTCAAAGTGAACAGATGTATAGCTGAAAGAATTGAGTAGTCTAAAGCTGACATGAGCTTTCTTTGCTCCAGGTTCTCTCTGCTGCCAGTACCTTCAGACTGAAGGCTCTAAAACGCCACTGTGAGCTTATCTGTTCAAAGAACATGACCCTGAGTAACAGCGTACAGGTGTACCAACAATCCAAGGTAAGGAAGTAAAGGGCTGGGTTAAGGATCTGATGATTCCATGGATCGGAGTACGTAGAATTCAAAGCACACTCTTCCTAAACATTCAACACAGCTGTTAAAAAAAACCAGCTTTCTAAATCAGAAACATTGACCCCATAAAAATGTGAGTTGCTAGCCTGGCTGTGTTGACAGAGTTCTGTTGTGAGTTCAAGACTTGTTCTCATACTTCAGCTTGAAACTCCAATGGGGAAAGAGCTGCATTGTTGCAGCTGCCATCTTTCAGATGAGATATTAAAAAAACATGTCTTTTCAGGCGGACATTAATAAACTTGTGACACCTTTTATTAATAATAATAATAATCATTGCATTTGATATAGCACCTTATCACATCTTCTAGACGTCTCAAAGCACTTGACAGAATATACTGTAAAGTGAATTGACTGTATATTTTGTGGGCAAAACGCGGCAGCCAATTGCGCACAGCAGCGTCCCACAAACAGTCGTGGATTGAATGAGCAAATTATTATTACTCATTCCACTAACTTGATAGTTGCTGTGTTTGCCTACAAATACACAGTCACTACACTTGCAGTAACTCCCTGTGAAGCACTTTGCAGTGTCTTGATGTTAGAGGTGCTGTATCAAACACATGGATTCAGATTTCAATTCTTTCTTTCTTGGAGTGATGAAGAACAGGATTAACCTTTTACTCGCCATTTCTTGCTGCTGAAGTGATAAAAATGTCTGGTGTGATCTGCAGATCCATAAAGCCTCGGAGCTGCTCTCGTTCTGCATTGGCTACTTTCTGAAGAACATGGTGCCTCTGCTGGAGCTGGACTCCTTTCAACAGCTGCTTTTTGGTGCCTGCAAGACCACAAAAGGTGCGAGCATTCTCACAGAACTGCAGGCAGCCCTAGCCTGCAGGATGCAGGCCATTTACCGACCAACATCCAAGGAGACAATGGTGTGACCTGGCCTTGAGCTGAACGTCAAGCTCACAAACAATGTCTTCCATTCCTGACCCAGTGATTGCCAATGGAATCAACAGCTGTCTGGTGCAGTTTCATCTATGTGCTGAGGTTTCAGGGCACTGTATAGTCGTGTGACCAAAGAGCACATTTAAATAAGCTACTGAGTGAATTGTTTCTTAACTGCAAATAAGATACATCTGAGTGTTGCCTTTTAAAGAGGTCCCTGTATTTATTGAGAGCTGGTTGCTCCATCTGTCTCAAGCACTGTTTTGCTTTTACACCTACCCTCTTGTTTATTCAGGCTCTTAAAATGCCTGAGGCCTTTCTAATGCACTTTAATGTAATCTAACTTTATCTTCAATGCGATGCTCACTCCTCAATGTAACTAAAACTCAGCTGTGCCGCAACTGGTGAGCTGAGTGCTGAAGTGTTTAACATGTTGTACTGTACAGTGTGACTCTACCTCACACTCTACCTTGAGGCTCTTCTGTCAGTATCAAAAAACATGCGAAAAAACAGAAGTGTCTGGGAACACTCAGCAGGTCAGGCAGCATCTATTAGAGAGGAAAGTGAGTTAACGTTTCAGGTCGATGAGCTTTCATCAGAACCCCAAGGTGCTGCCTGACCTGCTGAGTGTTCCCAGTGACTTCTGTTTTTATTTCAGATTTCCATGTCTGCAGTATTCTGTCTTTCATTCAAGAAACAAGGATTCTGGACCTGATCCCTCTTTACTATTTACACCTCTGTCTCACTCTTCTCTCTCTCTCACTCTCTCTCTCCCCATCTCTCTCTCTCCCCTTAAACCATCTTTATCCCCAATTTTGGAAGATCTGGGGCTAGTTCCTGCTCACGCTCAATGAGGGAAAGAGATCTCACCCCGGAAAGGTATATAACTTGCACAGTTCAGAAAATGCAGCCTATTCACCAATAGTAAAAAGCCATGATCAGTTCTGGTTATTATCTAGAGAACCTGTGTTTTTCAATTTGTACATTTTCCTAAAAAAATTGAGGCAGGTCTTCTGATGGTCTCCTGATGGAGCCTTTGTGTTGCAAGATATCTTCTCATCAGTGAGTGAGTGCAGTCGCTCTACACATCAGCCTCTGTGTGGGTTTCAATGGACCAACATTGACACAACAAATTACATTTGTATAGCGCCTTTCACATTGGGAGGACGTCCCAAGCAAATTACTTGGGGTGGAGGGAGTTATTATGTGCCACATGTAAAGTATGTGTAAACGTATACTGAGTGAATGACTGGTATCCTTAAATATGCGATTAACAAATCTTTTTAAATGAGGATTACATCATTTAGGTCACCTGCGATCCCTCTTTACTCATTATGCATTATATGCATGCATTCCCACTGTCTTGGTGGTTGATCAAAGAGATTTATAACCCCTCACACAACTGTTTATGAAGATACTATTTATTATAATGCTGTCAATCTATTTGATCAAATGTTTTGCTTAATTTAATCTTTGAATGACCAACTTTTTGTAAAAAGAAACATCAAAGACTGTATAAAAACATGGGAGAAATATGTATTTTCATCAGGAATGAAAATGTCAATCAGTTTCCAAGCTGTCATTGATTAATTTATTTGATGCTGTTTGCACGTTGTGCCTTGTGTAATAAAAGGGAGCCAGGTCTTCATCCTTTGCCTCTGTATATTTATTATTACTGTGTTTAAGAAGTTTTCAGGACTCATTGTTTAAGAAAATAAGAAGTGTTCCAAATGTGCTTCTCACAAACCGAAAACCACTGGCCAAAACTGTAGGATTTACTAACAAAATGTGGAATCCTGTAGCTCAGTGGTTACAACACTCGCCTCGCAAACGAGAGGACCTGGGTTTGAATTTCGGGCAGGGCGAAACATTGGGCAAGTTTCCTTACTCCACACACCTCTATTTACCAAGCAGTAAATAGGAATCCAGTACTTTGTTGGATTGCTTATCTGGGGATAATAATCCCTCCAAAAAAAAATTGTGGTCATTTAATCCACGAATGTTTGTGGGACGCTGCTGTCTGCAATTGGCTGCCACATTTCGCCCACAAAATACAGTCACTGTATTTGTTTTGGAAAGCAGTATATTCTTTGAAGCGCTTTGAGACGTCCCGAAGACTCGATAAGGCGTGAAATTGAATGCAAAGATTATTATTATTCATTTTTTGGGCTGCATTCTGCTTTCCAAAACAAAGCACCCAATTTCCTTTCAGATACACACATTGTAACAGCGGCTCCTTTAAGCAAATGGGAATTCTGAAAAAAAAATCTACAGGCATTTCAGCGTATATCAATCAATTTGTGCACTTTAATGTAGCATTTTCACAGCTGTCATATTGCAGGAACTGGTTCAACTGAGGTTCAACATCAAAAGCAATGCCACTGCAATCACCTCCTTAGAGAAAGGGGTAAGGATCTGTGAACAGGGATAATCTACATGAGGGTTAGGATTAATCCGAAACGTTTGTTTTTTCTCCAGCAATGCTTAACAAGTATGCGTTTCATACCCATTATTTGTAGGCATTGATGAGAAACTCTTCATTTTTTTTGGATGGAGATTATCTTTCTTATCTTCCTAACCCCATGCTGTGTACCCCTCCTTAGAAATGCCTTCAATTTAGGTAAACATTCAGATTTGGATGGATTCAGCAGGATAGCAAAGTTCAGCTATTTCTTCTGGAGTTTCTTTTTTTCTTCCTGCTTCCTTTTCCTGATCAGATCACGAGCAGCTTCAAGCCCAAGAAAATAAAGAGTTCCCCAGTACTCCTCGTCATTCTCTGGCATGCTGACCATCTTGCTGTCCGACACAGGCATTGGAGTACTGAACAGGATCTCAAACAAAGCCTCATCTGGCTTATCTGGGTTCACTGAGTGTTGGAGACCTCGAAACCCAGAAGCTGAGGCTATGGGCATTGAGGTTGCTGGATTCTCATCTAAACCCAGAGTACGAGAACCTTCCATTTCAGAGACCGAATCAAGTGGCAAGCCTTGAGCCAACCACAAAGCTGTCTCCTTGCCTGTGGCACTCAGTATAATGGGGGCTGAATGTCTTCCTTCTACACCAGTGGTGCCTTGAGTTGTACTTCCCACATTTGGCTTGACATTTGGCTCGGAGAGGAGTACAGCTGGTCCTGAATGGGACGAGTCCTTTGATAAACTTGTGAACGAGGAAGTGGAGGTATTCTCTTCAAGACAAGAAGACGAGGCCTCAGTATCCCTGAATTCCCTAGATTTGGCTCCCACAGACAAGTCAAAGGAGACTTCACTGGAGGGTAGTTGCTGAGTTTGTACAATGTCTTTGAGTGTAGCCTCACCCCCCACTGAAACATCAATGAATGCTCCTTTGCCTATCAGACTAGTTTCAGGTAAACTGTTGCATTCCAGTCGATCACTAAGCTCCTGAAAATACAAGAAAATGATTGAATAATGTCATAATGTAACATACCTCGATCAAACAGCCACAGAAATTTCCACTGGTGTGAGACAACAACATTCAAGCAACACAGCTTCGCAAGCAGGTTGAACTTAGATTATTGAATATTGCAGATTTCCAGCCTCTGCAGTATTTTGAGAGGCAGAAATGGTCAGTCAGCCTGGCTACATGAATGTCTTGGGTCCTGCTGTCAAGTATAAGATAAGGTAGATGTTTCCACAGTCACATTGCTAAAAACAAATCAGTATTCCATTCAGTGTCTGACTTACAGAAGGTGTTTCAATGACAATACGTCCCTGGGAGCCTCTCTGGCTGACATTGTTCAATTGGGATTTTGTGTTTCCCATTTTATCTGTCAGATAAGAGAGAAGTGTAATGAGCATATAAGTGAAGGGGAAGAAATAGACAAAGTATGGCTAATTGCTGATAAACTCACCTTCTCATTCCATCCTCAAGTCTATCACTGCTCAAGGTTATTCTTCTTTGGAGCTGGTGCTATGAACCCAAGAATAATAATAATAATAATCCTTGCATTTAATATAGCGCCTTAGCATGCCTTCGAGACGTCTCAAAGCGCTTCACAGAATATGCTGTAAAGTGAATTGGCTGTATATTTGTGGGCGAACGCGGCAGCCAATTGGGCACAGCAATGTCCCACAAACAGTCGTGGATTGAAAATGACCAATTTATTATTGCTTTGTTTTGGAGGGATTATTACTAGGCAGTGGAGTGTGGAAACTTGCCCAAGGTTTCGCCCTGCTCAATAGCTCAATACTGACCCATGTTCACACTGTCTCAGACCTCACCGCCCCCCTATTCATTACTCCTTTTTTGTAACAAAGTGTACATTTATTTGTAAATAGAATATATATTAACACTTGTCTTAAAAAAGAACAAATTCTGTGACAGAATGAAGAAACGCAACACGTTATTATCCTGTTACAGGACGGGACAGCCTTTATGGTGGGGGTGGGGGGTGAAGGGGGGAAGGTGGGGGTACCTTTGGATACTCGATTTTGGTGGAGGGTCCAAGGCTTCCCTGCCTCAGGGTTCTGCCACCCTTTGCAGGGCGCAGTTGCAACATGGGGCTTGTACCCCCTTCCTTCCCCACTTTATGGGGAGTGCAGGCAGGTTAACAAAACATCACTCCTCCATTTATTGCGCACACACCTGGGATGTTAGGAATTGGTTTGGGAAGCACTCTACTTGCCAAATCTCTGTCCTGATGCGCACGTCTGCGCACCCATGCTTCAAGCAGTCTCGGGGCTAAGGGAGAGAAGGAAAGAGAACGGTACTAATGCAATGAGGTGTGTCACCCATTGTGCACCCACTCCCTCAGGCACCACCAATAATACACATTCAAACTGAGACTGGTAATGTGGCATTGACTGACAGGCAGCAGGCTGACTGATGGCTGACAGACTGAATACGAACAGTTGACGGGCTGAAAGATAATAATAATAATCCTTGAATTTGATGTAGCGCCTTATCACATCTTCAAGATGTCTTAATGTGCTTCACAGAACATACTGTAAAGTGAAATGACTGTATATTCTGTGGGCAAAACACGGCAGCCAATTGCGCACAGCAGTGTCCCACAAACACTTGTGGATTAATTAACCAAATCTTTTTTTAAGGGATTATTACCCCCAGAAAAACAATCCACCAATCAACTGACAACCAGGTTCCTACTTACTGCTAGATAAACAGAGGCGTGTGGAGTAAGGAAATTCACAGAGGTGAGAAGCGATGGAGTGACATTGAGCCTGACATATAGAGAGATAATTACAAGATTCACAGCCCTTGGAGCCAGGGGTGACACAAGGATTTGTTCGTCTAATCACTTAAGAATTGAAATTATTAAATATTTAAATAGTAAAATTTCTCCATATCCAATAGTTTGAAATAACAAGTAATATTGGTCAGTGTTGAAAACCCATGCCATGTAACTCACTTGATTGTAATGTAGTTAGACGGAGCAGCAATAATAGCTGTAGCTCACACCAGGTGGATCAAACGAGGACTATAATAGACACTAAATGGCACTGGTGCTCACTCAGTCCCTGTGTGCAGCGGCTCTGTGCCCTGACCACCTCCTGGCTGTTGTCA